TCTGGCAATCGGTTCATGCATAGTGCAGAAGACGGAGACGGTAGTTTTGCAGTCTTTGATCTTTTCTGTTGTGAATAAATATCTCATTATCTGTTTGATTATCCACTTGATGTCTTCGGCTGGTTCCACTTTTGAGTGTCTACACGTTACATCTTACTGATCATTAGGGAAAATGCAGCGATCGGTGAGATAGTGAGCTAACATTACATGACACTCAGATTAGGTAGCTGTAAAGGTTTCAGTCAGCAAATTATAACGGAGTGTTTTGTGAAAAGTTCCTCATAATAACCAGCAAATTGAGAGGAATCATCTTTTGGTCTCATGGTAATCCTTCAATTCACAATGTGCATAGACTGCTGAGTTACCCTGAAATGCTTGAGAATTCTGTTGGAACAGCTTTGAACCTGTGAGAGGCAGTGCATGGTGTATCTTTTCTCAGACCAATGGGCTATGAGGGAGAGGAGACTTGTGACTGCTGATTGTACATCTTGTAGCCTTGATTGGTAATGTGATTTTTTGAAAAACAGATAGAGTGAAACCTTCTCTCCAGAAATCTCTGCAGTCATCACTGATTCTGTCCTCTCAATCACAAGATGGGTGCAAGGGTTTGCAGCACAATCCCTGCACTTTCTGTTTAGCTTCAGTGTTGGCCCCATTAAAAAGTGCGGTGCCATGGCTGTTCCCTGACAACTGATGCTATCTGCAGTCAAGGAGTCAGTTGCTTGTGAGGGATGTGCAGTGCTTGACTACTGTAATTTCATTCATCCTTGGAATTTCTGAAGAGGCTGCTTGTCTCTCACGTGAGTGTGACTTAACCACATCCATCAGTGAAAATTACACTAGAGCAGATATTTTAACAATGCAAGTGAACATGTATTCTCAAATGTGTAATTATTTACAGTGATGTTTCAATCATGCCACTCACGTGACCTTGATAGGTTTTTTCTTCCTGTGCCTCCCACTAAATCTGAGTGCAGTCCTGACTTCCACAGTTGGAGGGGACTTGCTGTATGATTGGTTCTGTTGGCCTGGAAGACTTGGGTCGTTGTCCCTTGATGCTCTTTGGCCTGTAGGACAGGGCTTACTGATAGTTTTCCGTCCATTTGCAGGGTCACTGACCTCAGCTTGAACTTCTGCTGGCTTTGCAATAGGAAATAAAGGGGCTGGGCACCTATGAAGCATTCTGCGATAAAGCTTCTAGGGAGTCCTGTCTGTGCCTCCACTTCCTGTGCTGGCATCTCTGCCTATAAAAGGGCTCCCTGGAGTGAGATGAAGTTCTTTGTCCCCCTATCGCCTGGCCATTGGTACTGAGCACATTTGGCTCAAATGAAACATTGCAGGTCTGTACACAGTTGTAGTAACTACTGACCCTGACTGCCCATAGCCACCCTGTCCATGGAGACTGCCAGACATACATGCTGGAACCAGTACAGTACTGAAAATGTTGTTGGGCTCAGCTTACCATCTGCCGCTGAAAGAATCTGCATGCAGTTCCCATACCTATCTGAGCATTTTAATAAAATCATAATTCGCTTATTTTTGGGGTGGCACGGTGGCTCAGTGGTTAGCAATGCTGCCTCACAGCACCAGGGACCCAGGTTCAATTCCAGCCTCGGGTGACTATCTGTGTGGAGTTTGCACATTCTCCCCGTGTCTGCATGGGTTTCCTCCAGGTGCTCTGGTTTCCTCCCACAGTCCAAAGATGTGCAGGCTAGGTGGATTGGCCATGCTAAATTATCCGTAATGTTCAGGGATGTGTAGATTAGGTGGGTTATAGGGGGATGGGTCTGGGTGGGATGTTCTCAGGGTCGGTGTGGACTTGTTGGGCTGAAGGGCCTGTTTCCACACTGTAGGGATTCTATTAATGGTTGAGACCATAGCATCATCTATCTGGAGCTTAGAAGGTGCCTAGTACCTAGGAGTTCCAGCAACTTGACTGTTTCTTTCTCAACCAGCTGTAGAGATGTGTCATTGATATGCTCACAAAGCTGTGCTCCCATGTCTAATCTAGATCATTAGACCCACCAAGGTAAAAGTCGCTTCACTGCTAGAGGTTGGAGCTGAAAACTTGCCTGTATCCTCTGACGGTTCAGTGGCTTCCTTCAGGTAGAGATGAGGGCCACCAGCACTGACTCATTAATTGGACTGGTTGCCATTGGAGCCTGCATGAGAAAATAGAGGTAATTGATTGTCTAAAAAGAATAAAGGCTTGTGCAGATCAAGAATGCAGTATTACCATTGTTACTGGGAGAGCCATGCTACATAACCCAGTGAAGCGTTGGTTGGTCTGTCATTGGCCCAGTACGAGCCATCATTCTCCTGTCCAGCCAATCTGAGAATCTTCAACTCATAGAGAGGGAGGAGCATGATGCCTGCTGCCTTCCAGCTGGTCTTGGACCACAATCGGGGCCATTCAATCCTGCAATGCGACAAAGTGAGAGATTCAGTGGAAGTGATTGGAATGTCAGTTAATGATGATGCATAAACAGGAGAGATGGTGAGATGGCCAGTGAGTGAGTATGAATGGTTGGCACTTTGGGACAATGAGGTCGGTGAGAGCTATTGAATTGACGAGCTGTATATAGTGCTTAGTAGTCCCTGAGCCATGTGTCAAGGAAAATTGAAAGGGATGGGTTTAAAGGGAGAAAACGCACTACTGTAAGAGATCCCATATTTTTCAGAAATATAAATTGAAATGGAAGTTGGATAGCTATAATTGAAAACGTTTTGAAACTTGAAAAACAAGTGTCACATATTGTTGAGTTGTGCAATGCAGTGTTGCTTTCTGAAAGCCAAAAAAAAGGAAATCATTGAGACTGGCTAGACCAAGAAACTTTCAAATTTCTGACTTCTGCCTTACAACAGTTTTGCGGTTGAGCTGTAGTGTTACAAATCTGTAAGTGCCGAGAGCAGCAGAGCGAAAAGCATTCATAGCCTATAGACAGAAAGCCATCAAAATGCTTTCTCTCTCAATGCGAGGAAAAAGACAGAAAACTGAAGGAATTTTAAACAAAAAAATTCACACAACGAAAAATCTATGTTCACCTGATCAGATATTGAACTGAAGGATGACCATCACCACACAGACAGTGTCACATTGTTGCAAAAGTCAAAAGAATTGTACGAGGGAAAAAATACTTTACACCTTATGGCCTTTTTTATTTGGAAACTTGTTTACGTGTTTGAGTTTGTTTAGGTTGAAGAGATATTGTTTATGTTGTGTAAATTATCAATTCTTTTTCACTTTTCAGGTTAAAAGTGTTTTAGAATAAAAAGAGAGTTTTTTTTGCTATTTTTGAAGAAACTTGGTGGGGTTTACTTCTGTTCTTTGTAAGAGTCTGTCAGGCGTGGTGAGTTTAGTGTCTCGTTGGGATTTTTGTACATTTTGTGATGACTTTTGGAATAGTGGGGCATGATTATCAGCGCATTATTCCCGGTTAAATAGTGACACTGCTGTAGTAGATGGAGGGGATAGCCTAGTTGTGTTATCGCTAAACCTTTAATCCAGAAACTCAGCTAATGAACCTGGGTTTGAATCCCACCACAGCAGATTGTGGAGTTTGAATTCCATAAAATATCCAGAATTAAGAATCTACCGATGACCATGGTTTGTCAGAAAAACTCATCTGGTTCACTAATATCTTTCAGGGAAGGTTATCTGCCATCCTCACCTGGTCTGGCTACATGTGACTCCAGACCCACAGCAATGTGGTTGATTCTTAACTACCTTCAGAAATAGCCTAGCAAGTCACTCAGTAGTATCAATCGCTACAAAGTCTCAACAAAAGAAATGAAACTAGATGGACCACATTGTATCAACCTAGACACCAGAAATGACAACGGTTACAATAGCCTTGTCCAGCCTGCTAACTCCTCTTTATTGACATTTGGGAACTAGTGCCAAAATTGGGAGTACTGTCTCACAAAATAATCAAACATCAGTCAGACTTGTCATATTTACAGGCAATATCCCAGACACCATCATCACCGTCCCTGTGTATGCCCTGCACCAAGGACAGAGCAGAGGTGCTGGCACTGTGTATACAATCGGGGGAGCTGCCCTGGCAGTTCTCAATATTGGCTCTGGATCCCATGATGTCTCATGGCACAAGGTTAAACATGGGCAAGGAAACCTGTTCCACTGCAGCTACTGGCCTCTACCCAACAATGCAAAGTTGCCCAGGTATGTCCTGTGCACCCAAATTAGGACAAATATAACCCAAACCAATTACCGTTCCATCAGTCTGCTCTTGGGAAAAAAGGGAAAAGCAGTTTCAATGATAATGTGGAAATAGTCTTGATATAGTGTGTTTCAGTGGTGATCTTGCATCGTGTCACCTACTTTAAATGCCAGTTGTTTTATCTTTCCTGAATTTTAGATGATTTGTTGTTTGCCCTTCAATTTACCTCATAATAAAAACTGCAACTAAGGCCTGAACTTTTGCTCCTGACTCAAGAGCACAGATTTAGACAAATCCTAGCTACATTAACCCAATCTGAAAATGCCCAAGAAGTGCAGAGTTGTTCTGGTGTGACAGGAGTAGGGTGAAAATGGGGGATGTGAATGGCTGCACTTGAATGAAGCCAGAGGCTTCTGGGTGCACAGGCAGTCTGGGCAATGGGCCTCTTCCATTGCACCTGCATTTTATCAAAGATATGAAACAAAGCAATAATATGAATAATAGTCCAGCTTTCACCCGTCACATTGGAGTTTACAAGAATGAGATATGTAAGATCCTGAGGGCTTTGAGAGGGTCGATACTGAGATACTGCTGTTTCCCCTTGTGGAGGGCAATCTAGAACTAGGGACACAGTTTCATTCAACTATAATCTCACTGAATGGCAGAGTTGCCTTGAGGAGCCGAATAGCTTACATCTACTTCTCATTTTCATAATCTACCCCAGTCTCTTTTTAAAATTGCTGAGGGTAATAAGTAACTAATTGAAACTTCATTTTTCACCAGCTTCTTAAAAATTGTCACTTGTATCTGCAATTTAAGGTGTCCATTTACGAAAGCAGCATTCCTACACAAGCTCGAGCATGAAGTGTCGTTACTGTGAAGCTACTTTCCATGAACGCTATGCACTCATCCAACACCAAAAGACGCACAGGAATGAGAAACGTTTCAAGTGTGACCAGTGTGATTATGCATGTAAACAGGTATACTGCTGAAGAGTTTGAAGGTATAGTCTACTCCAACTTTATATGTTTTGTTTAGTGCTGGCATCCCAAACCAATTTCTGAATTCTCAGCTTCTGTTACCATGGAGTGACAGCGTGTGTTATCAATTTGTAATGCTACCTGTTTAGCCAGAAAATAAATCTGAACCTTTTTTGATGGAAGTGATCAAACTATCAGATTATTCAACTGCAGAGGTTTCCATTCTCCGCCGACCTGATTTCCTAGATAGGTAATCACACTCATTAGCAAATGATTGCCAACGACGAAGACATCTCTTACAGATGGTTGATGGATGGAGAAAACGAGCAAGAGCACAGCTGTTTTTTCTCCACCCAAGAACACTCAGTCACTGGAAGACATTTCTGATTTTGACTGTTGAATTCAGATATGTTGTACAAGAATCATAGGCCTGGCTTTATACTGCTCTGGCCCTGATCGAGATCACTGGTTGTTTTGGTTATGTTATTGTTCCTGTTCAGTGTGGTTTTAGATACTTCCAAATTTAAAATTTGAATTTTTCAAATTTGAAAATTTATCAAAGCACAAATGATCATTGGGCCTGTCTTTAGGCCATAATGTTCCCATGGGACTTGGGAGCAGCAGTTGAACATTTTACCCTTCAAGCCTGCTCTGCCATTCAATCTGATCATGGCTGATCTGATTCTGGCCTCAACATTTTTTTTTATCTGTCCCCATAACTCTTGTCTGTCAAAATTCTGTCTTAACACAATATTCAGTAAGTTCAGTGACAAAGCCTTCACTGCTCTCTGGGGAAGAGAATTCCACAGACTGTTTCAAAAATGGTCCTCATCTTCATCAATAAGGGAGCCCTCTTTAAATTGTATACCCTAGTTCTAGATTTTCCCACAAAAAGAAAATTCCCTTCCAAGTCCCCCAAGAATCTTGTTTCAATAAGATCACCTCTCATTCTTCTAAACAACATCGGGAACAGCCCTGACCTGTTCAACATATTTCCATCAGAACAGAAATTTCCAGGAACAAGCCAAGCGACCTTCTCTTAATTGCTTCTAATGTAATTATATCCTTTTTAAATAAAGAGGCCAAAACATGTTATAGCGCTCCAGCTGTGATATCTCAAAGGCCCATACAGCTGCTCTAAAACTTCTCACTTATATTTCATTTCCACTATAATAAGTAGCAACATTCCACTTGCAGTACTTGCACACCAGAAAGTGTGAGATTCATGTACCAGGACACCCACATCCTTCTGTACCACAATGTCTTGCAGTTTCTCACTATTTCTTTTCTGTTTTCCCTGCCAAAGTGAATCATAGAATCCCTACAGTGTGGAAACAGGCCCTTCGGCCCAACAAGTCCACACAGCATCCCATCCAGACCCATCCCCCGATAACCCACCTACACATCCCCGAACACTATGGGCAATTTAGCATGGCCAGTCCAGCTAGCCTGCTCATCTTTGGACTGTGGGAGGAAACCCTCACAGACACGGGGAGAATGTGCAAACTCCACACAGACAGTCGCCCGAAGGTGGAATTGAACCCTGGTCCCTGGCGCTGTGAGGCAGCAGTGCTAACCACTGAGCCACCCAGAACAAGTTCACATTTTCCCACGTTATACATGTATTCCATCTGCAAAATGTTTACTTGATCTTTATGCTATTATATCACTGTATCGGCTGTTTGCCTCCTTTTGGCAATTACTTTCCTACCTAATTTGGTGTCATCAGCAAATTTTGCAACCATACAGTCAACTCCTGCATCCAGGCGGTTACACCAGCAATCTTTGAGTTGCAAATAGGTTCTGTTCATGAGTTTATTCACAACTCAATTAGTATGCAAGTTGGAACACAATGCAGGACGATATGAAGCAACTGTTCTTAAGTACAGGAAATGTTTGTATGTTGGATGTTTAAAATTACACCCCTAATTGGGATCATGCTTGTAAGTATAAGCATTCATAATTTAGATGTTCATAAACTGGGGACCCCATACAGATTTGCTTAGCTGCCATATCAAAAGTTGCTAAATAAAGATTGTAAATAGTTGAGCTGTCAACACTGATCCCAATGGCACCCCACTAGTCACACCTTACCAACCTGAAAATTATCAACTTAATCCTCTCCCTCCTGTTAGGTAGCTATGCTAATATGTTACATTTTGTGCCTTGATCTCTTACTTTATTTAGCAACCTTTGATATGGCAGCTAAGCAAATGCCTTTTGGAAATCAAGGTGCATCGCATCTGCAGGTTTCCTTTTGTCCACCTGGTCTGTTCATTCTTAAAATTAAAACTTTGCAAAGCAGAAGGAGGCAACATTCAGCTTATTCTGTGTATGCTGGTGAACTGCAACAACTCTGCATAAAGAAAACTTTGCTTTTCACTGAGCGATTGGTTGAAATTGATGACTTGTTTCTAACTATTCATCCTGCCCAATCAATCATCTGTGAAAAAATCTTTATCATAACCTTTTTACCTAATGAAAATTTATGTAACTCAAATGTTTGATAACCATCAATGAAATCAAACCTGGGCCTGTTCAGGTGTCCTTGAAGAATTAAAAGCATAAGGGAACATCTAGCAGATTTTGACACATCTTAACGGTTGTGTTAACAATGCATTACCTTGAAGTGGGTTGTTACCTGGGCAAAATGAAGGTCTCTAACCAATGTACTTGACCTGTTGTTAAGTATTCCAATAATTTACATTTTGTTCAACATTTCCAACAATTTGTTTTATTTCTCCTAAACCATTTTGATATTATGCACAGAAACGTCACATGATAATGCATAAACGTATCCACACCGGAGAAAAGCCATTCAGCTGCTCCCAGTGTGATAAGCAGTTCAGACAGAAGCAGCTTCTGGACTTGCATTTCAAGAAGCATCACGATCCAAGTTTCATCCCAGAGGCATACATTTGCTCCCAGTGTTGTAAGAGCTTTACTCGCAAGGTACCTGCTTGTTTTTTCATTTGCAATACAGTTTAAGTCCTGTCATAGCAGACAACCTGCAGCACACTCACATCTAAGGGGTGACAACCAAACAATGATCTGTACTACTTCCCCATCCAAAGTGAGCATAAGTTGAACTGAGAACACAATACTGCCAGTTTGTCTAAGTGCAGAGCTACAAAGGTAGACACTAGGCTCTTGATTATCAATTCCATTGATTCAAGGAGAAGAATGGCTGGATCTGTAGTTCTTGTAACATGTAACTTTCTATCCCTGGTAGGTTATTCCACTGTTCAGACATGAGAAATAATGAGGCAATACTCAAAATATGGATTAAATACTAATATCTTCACTAGATTTGAACAATACAATAACTCAATTGTGTGCATCAATTAGCAATATACCTGTTAGTAACAAATACATAATGAGAAATAATATGTGCAACCATCTAGTGAGCAATCAGCCTTCCACCAGTTTTACCTTCAAGCAGCTGACCAGGTTATTTTGAGGGGACAGTGACTAACTTTTCACATTGTTATTTAACCCTTTCTTTCCCAGATAAGTTTTGTTGACAAGATCATACTGTTCAATTGAACACAGAGCCCAGTATCCCATCACCAAGTCATCCTTTATTTACTTGTGCACAGTAAACCAGCTGTAGCTAGCCAGCTTGGAATCAATCCCCTGAAGCAAGGAGAGGCTAAATCCCCTGTTTATATTAGTCGGCAAGGGCTTCCTGATTGGCCCAAGGTTAACAACCCCAATCAAGGAACATGTGGTCAACAAGATCCACCTGCTGCCAAATACTACATCCCTCCCGTCTCTCAGTCTGGGGATGTAGGCCTGGTCTTTCTCTTGTAGCTTTTTCTGCGACATTTTTGCCCTAGGTCCGGTTTGTCTGATTTGGACTCTGACATGGGTGTGTTCCGGACCGTAGCCCAACTCTTGTATCTGGAGCATCTCGAGAGTGTTTCCTCCTCTCCTTCCGGCTGCAATGGTGTCGACACTGCATCCATCTTGGACTCTGAAGTTTTCCTGACACTAGATGGAGGGTGAGAACCTGTGGTTTCTGACAGACCTTATGGCTGTTCTGAGGGGCGAGGTATGTTTTGCTTCTGCTCTGTTTGCGAGTTAACAGCTTTCAGGTGATCCACATGTTTGTTCAGGATCACCTCACTTCCCCGAACTTTGTAAGTCAAGGGACCTGACCTCGCATCCACCTCGCCTTGTACCTATACAGGGCCATTTCCATGGTTCTGGCTCCAAACTTCGTCTCCTGAATTAAATTGTCTCTCTTGCTTAGAGGATGCTTGTGGCTGGTATTGGCATTCCTGCTGCCATTTCACCCTCTCCCACAGGTCTGAGAATATCAGGTTTAACCTGGTGCGGAGTCTTCTCCCCATTAGCAACTCTGCTGGAGCCAACCCTGTTGTTGCATGTGGGGTGGTCCTATAATCGAATGCTAACTGGGACGGTTTGGTATTGAGTGACACTGTAGGCTGCTTCTTTAAGCTTGCCTTTCCACCAACCATTGGCAATGGAAGGTATGGAGCTGTCCTTATCTGCTGAATGCGATTCGACTTCAGGAAATACTTAAATTCCCTGCTGGTAAATTACATCCCATTGCCTGTAACCAATACTGCTGGGAGTCTGTGTGTCGCAAACGATGCTCACAGCTTCTCAATTGTCATCCCTGAGTTTGCCGGATGGACTTTATGCATGTCCAATCACTTTGAATGGGCGTCCACAATGACCAGGAACATTGAGCTCATGAAAGGACTGGCATAGTCAACATGTAACTGACTCCAGGGTTTACCTGGCCATTCCCATGAATATGGGGCCGCCGCTGGTGGCAATTTTTGTTCTTGTTGGCACTCTGGGCTCTGCCCCACTAATGCTATGTTAGTATCCAGCCTCTTCTTGCTAGCATCTTCATCTTGGAAACCCCTGGATGACCTTAATGGAGTTTGGTCAGTAACTGGTGGTGACCTTTACTTGGGACCATCACTCTTGCTCCCCAAAGTAATGTGCTGTCCTCTACGCTGATCTGGTCTCACTGGGTCCAGAAAGGTTTCAGTTTTGCTCAGACAAGATAAATTTTGTGTCCACAGTCAGATATTGTCTTCGATGACCGGAAGGATGTCCAGGGAGTTTAAAACCAAGGACTGTTCGAGGGGAGGCACCACCGGTGGAGTATCTGCCAGTGGAAGGCAGCTCAGGGCATACTTATTAGCCACTTGGTTTCTTGGATGGTGTTCTAACTTGTACCCACTGGGAATAAGGGCCCAATGCTGAATTCTGCCGGAAGCTATGGGCAGCACTGCCTTCTCTTCTTTCAATAGCCTTAGCAGGTGTTTGTGATCCATTGATACGACAAATTCCCATCTGTAAAGGTACTGGTGGAACTTGCTCACACCAAAGATGACCGCCAAACTTTCCTTCTCCATCTGGGCGTATTTGCGTTCAGTATCAGCCAAAGTCCAGAAAGCATACGCAATTGGGTTTTCCTCTCTTTTGGGCCCAGTGAGCTAATACTACCCTGATACTGCGTACAGAGGGGCCTCACATGTCAGCACTACCTCTCGCTTCAGATCATTGTGGGCCAACACCTTAGATGACAATAGCCCACTTTCCTAAAGGCCACTTCTTGGCTACACACCATTTCCAAGACTGACCTTTTTTCAGTTGCAGGTGTAAGGGTGCCAAGATAGAGACCAGGTTACGTATGGATTTTCTGTAATAACTAAGCTTCGGTACAGACGGGGGAGTCGAGGCTCCTTTGATCGCCCTCACTGTATCTTTCAACAGGTGTAACCCAGTTTTGCCAACTCTGTAACCCAAGTAGGTCACTTGGGTTGCCTGGAACACACATTTCTCCCGTTTAAGGTGTACGCCCGCCTGGGAGAAATGTTTAAACACCATGTCCAAGTTCTCCAAGTGCTGTTTATTAGTATTCCCAGTTATTGGCATCTAGACAAATGACAACCTGGGGGCAGCCCTTGTAAAATGTTCTCCATTGTCAGCTGGAAAATGGCACAGGCTGATAATATCCCAGATGGCAGACTTATATATTGGTATAAACCTTTATGGATGTTAATTATGGTGTACTTCTCATCCAGTCACAATTGCGGGTAGACATGGCTCATGTCCTGCTTTGGAAAGGACAGTGCCTCTGCCAACTTTGTGTACAAGTCCTCTACGTGAGGGATTGGATATTTATCCAGCTGCGAGAAGCGGTTTCCTGTTTGCTTAAAATCCCCACGAAGGCGAACTAAGCCGTTGGACTTCATAATCACTACAACCAGTGCTGCCCATTCTGCAAACTGCATTGGTTTGATGATTCCTTCGCTCTCCAGCCTCCTGATTTCCGCCTCTACTTTTCCCCACAAGGCACATGGCACCAGGCGAGCCTTGCTAAATCATGGAATTGCTTCCTGGCCAATTTGTAAAGTGGCTTTGGTCTCTTTGATCGTCCCAAGCTCTTCCTGAAATAGTCCTGGGTACTTCACTAAGACTTCACCAAGGCAGCCATTTTCTAATCGAAAAATGTGGAACCAATCTAGATGAATCTTTCTCAACCAGTTCTGCCCCAATAGGCTTGGGCTCGAACCTCTTGCTATCATCAGTGGTAACTGCACCAACTGCTTCTTATTGGAACCGAAATCGTACCCTTAATCTGCAACAGTTCCCCAGTGTACGTTCTCAGTCTGGCTGAGGTCTTACACAAACATAAGGGTTGGGAACTGGGTGACCATTTAACCAAACATTAATTTTAATTGGCTCCGATTTAGACGTTGCTAAGCAATTTAATTGTTCCAACCCACATGTCAGGGAACTTCAGTGTGTGCACTCTTCTGGGTACCAGCCAATGACTTTTCTTACTCAGGTCAAGTCTTGTGTGACTCCTTTGCTGTCTCAAGTCTGCATATAGGCCTGAAGAACTCTTAGCCGCTTGGCCATGGCGCAACTTTGTTGTGGGGTTCTGCTGTGGGCTGTCCTCGGGTCCCTCTGCTCAGGATATGCCCTGCATAAAGCTGCACTCAAGTAGTGTTCCCCAAGCTCGGCCGGAGGAGTGAGGGTATCCACTTCCATTGGGATGCCTTGTAGTTCCCATGCTCCACTTGCTGCATTTTCTAATGAAAAAGCCAATTGTAGTGTCTGTTTGAAGTCCAGTTGGGCTCCAGCTGGTAGGCACTTCTGCATGGTTATGCCATTAATCCCACATATCAAACAATCTCTCAGCATCTCATTTAGTGTTAACCCAAAAGCTATCAGTCATTTTAACATGGTCAAAACTCCTGATAAGGATTGCCCCGGTTCTCAGACAGCCAAGTAAAACCAATAGAGTCTCAAAATTAGAGGAGGTTTGGGGTTGTAATAATCCTTAATCAACTCCATCAGCTCTTGGAAGGTTTTAGTGTCTGGTACCTCTGGGAAAGTTAAGCCCCTTATAATCAAAAATGCCACACATCCGCGAGCAGTCAGAAGGATTACTCGTTGCTTTACATCTACCCCAATGTCATTAGCTCGGAAAAAAAAGTCCCATTCCCAGTGAAATAACTGCACAGAGGCCAGTATCCCATCACCAAGTTACCCTTTATTTATTTGTTCACAGTACACTGGCTGTAGCCAGCCAGCTTGGAATCAGTCCCCTGAACTAAGGAGACTCTAAATCCCCTGTTCATACATTTTTTCCACCACCAGGAAAATCACCCATGTGGCCAGGGAACCAGTAACAAGCAAGGCCCAATAGGGACAATACTTACTTGGAAAAATAAGTGAAGGGGGAGGGTAGGGATTAAATCAAAATAGAGTTGGAGGGAGAGATAAAGCGCCCCCCCAATGCCCACCTCTTCCTAAAGGCAGCAAGAGAATCTCCTGTTTATATTGGATAGCCAGCCACAATCAAGGACCTTGTAGTTAACAAGGTCCACCTGGTTCCAGTCACTACACCTATCAAAGCCAATCTTCAGCTGCAATTGTTCAGTGAGACATCGAATTCTTTGAACTGCTATATTTAGCACTTATTTTGATGAGTATATGATTTAACACCTGCGATAATTTTTGCTCCACAAGCTATTGACTACGCTTTCAAAGTTTCTATCAGTTCTATTTCCTGGTCACGCACATTTTATGGCCCTAGGACTACAAGACAATTCAGAAGCTTCTGAGTTGTTACAAACAGGAGAAATTCTTGTTTTTCTGCATTAATTGTATGTGGAACTTCTCCAGATTTTGACCTGATATCAAACTACAGCTTTTAAAGTAGGTTTGTTGGTTAGTTTTGCTTAATTTATGATTTTTCTAATACTTCTTGCTAAGCAATCCATAGCCTTAACTGTCAACAGGCCAATGCATTTATCATCTATTTTACAAGATACCATCCTACAGCTGTTGTACCTTATGTAGAGCATTCTGTATTTAATTTAAACCATTGATGTTTCCCCTGAATTGAATAATTTCTGCAAATCTCAGCCTTTTTCCAAATACAAGCATAATTAGGTCAGTCAAAAATATTGCAGCCTCTTCCAGTCTTGGCAAAATCTCTGCATCAGTGCATACTGATCCCAGTTCTAAACCTTTGCTGGTCCTTGACTGTAAATAAACATGGACAATCGAGAAAGCAACATGCTTCAGGTAAGGACAGTGAAACCCAAATTATGTTAAAAATATCTCACTTGTGTTCACTGACATGACATGGTTAAGAATCTAATCCTTAGATGCCTTCGTGTCTGGAGCTTGCTGGCTAATTGCTGTTGCTCAAGATGAATTTCTACCCCCTTGATCTTAGTTCAGGTGATTGGTGAGCAATTTAAACATCTTGTAAACAGTATTGTTCGAATCATCCAGCTTCAAATGTACAACTCCTGCCCTTCCTGCTTTGCTCACTATTCCATTGTATAATTTGTTTTCTATTTAATTTCCTGATTGGGGATGACAGTGGAAGTGAAGAACAATTGACTGTGTGATTTGAACAAATCTATTTTCCTTTATGAGAATGTCATGAAAAGGCATGCTGAGAGATGTGGCAATGTGACAATACAAGATGGAAGTGCAATGTTTATGCCAAAGAAAAGGAGGATCAAGAAGAATAAATTGGAGTACAAACACAATGCTGAAGCAAAAGGAGGTATATTTTGTTAAATCTTGAACCAAAAGCATCATTTGAAGTTGTTGTGTTAATATAATTAATCATCAAAGTAAAATAATATTCATTTTACATTGCCAACCGTGGCAAACTTCTGATATTTATGATCTACCATTGATAAAAGTCCTATGATTTAATGTTTCAATAATATCACAGGCAAATATCTTCCAATAACAGTGAAGTCATTGGCAATGATACAGGAATAGAGTAACTTTCTTGGCCAGTGGCAGGAAGGCTGGCTACATGTAACCACACAACAGCAAACAATTAGCTAATCATGGCCAAGAGTTGTGGTGAATTATGCAGCAGAGGCACGCAAGAAGTCGATACCCATTGTTACCTCCTAGGTACTAAGGTCAAACCACCATATTGAAAGGACACCTGGATAGGCATTCATTCCTTACATGACGGCGTAGTCAGTCTGGCAAGTACAGCCTTCTGATTTTCTCCCCTAAATAAGCTCAGCTGCTGCTACCACCATATCTCAGAGGAGGTGATGAGTGACACCACCACACCATCCCCAAAGCCACCACACCCCCCAAAAAAACCTGTGGGTTCAGTGATGCCTCCCTGCAAATTCTTTCTGAGGTTGTCTGAGAAAGGTGAGATTATCACTGTTTTCCAGGGAAGGAGGCTTTCCAGTCTGGCAAATATTATGGACCAACCAAATCCTCTCACCATATAGCAAGGAGATAGCCTAGGCAGGCAGGAATTCAAAGAGCAAAGAACAATACAACATAGGAGTAAGCCCTTCGCCCCTCCAAGCCTGCGCTGACACATTTTGCCCTTCCATATTAAAAAAGACTTCAATTACAGGATCCGCATCTGTCTGTTCTCTTCCTTTTCATATATTTATCCAGGAGGTCCTTAAAGGTAATAATATCTGGATTACTCCCGGTTCCACAAGTTAGTGAGGGTAGGAATAGGAGGACAGAGCAGATGAATGCGTGGCTGAGGAGCTGGTGCAGGTGAGAAGGATTCACATTTTTGCATCATTGGAATCTCTTCTATGGTAGAAGTGACCTCTATAAGAAGGACGAATTGTATCCGAATTGGATGGACACTAATTTACTGATGGAGAGATTTGCTAGAGCTGCTCAGGAGGATTTAAACTAGTTGTGGAGGATGGGGATGATGTTGGTTACCTAGGGAGATAGTGAGGAAAGAGATCAATCTGAGACTGGTGCATTTGGGAAAAGATGCAAGTCAAACAGTCAGGGCAGGCAGGAACAAAGTAAAGAACGAGGTAGGACTATTAAATTAAACTGCATTTATTTCAATGCAAGAGGCCTAATGGGTAAGGCAGGTGAACTCAGGGCATGGATGGGAACATTGGACTGGGATACCATAGCGATAACAGACACGTGGCTCAAGATGGACAGGACTGGCAGCTTAATGTTCCAGGGTATAGATGCTATAGGAAGGATAGAGAGGGAGGCAAGAGAGGAGGGGGAGTGATGATTTTGATTAGGGATGACATTACGGCTGTACTTAAGGAGGATATTCCTGGGAATATGCCCAGGGAAGTTATTTAGGTGGAACTGAGAAATAAGAAAGGGATGTTTACCTTATTGGGATTGTACTACAGACCCCACAATAGTCAACAGAAAAGTGAGACACAAAGTTCTAAGGAGATTTCAGTTATCTGTCAGAATAATGGGGTGGTTATGGTTGGGGATTTTAATTTTCCAAACATAGACTGAGGCTGCTGTACTGTTAAGAGCTTGGATGGAGAGGTATTTGTTAAGTGTGTACAAGAAAATTTTCTGATTCAGTATGTGGATGTACCTACTAGAGAAGGTGTGAAATTTGACCTACTCTTGCGAAATAAGGCAGGGCAGGTGACAGGTGTCAGTTGGGAATATTTTGGGGGAAGTGATCATAATTCTATTAATTTTAAAATAGTTATGGAAAATGATAGACTCGATCTAAAAGTTAAAGTTCCAAATCAGAAGTAGGCCAGTTTTGACGGTATTAGGCAAGAACTTTGAAAAGTTGATTGGGGGCACATGTTTGCAGCTAAAGGGATGGCTGGAAAATGAGAAGCCTTCAAAAATGAGAGAATGAGAGTCCAATGACACTATGTTCCTGTTAGGGTGAAGGGCAAGGCTAGTAGATGTGGTGAACTGAATGTCAAGAGTCATTGATGTTTTGGTCAAGAATAAGAAGGAAGCATATGTCAGGTATAGACAGCAGAGATCAAGTGAATCCCTAGAAGAATGTAAAGGCAGTACGAGTATACATAAGAGGGAAATCAGGAGGGCAAAAATGGGACATAGGATTGCTTTGGCAAATAGAGTTAAGGAGAATCCAGAGGATTCTACAAAGACATCAATGACCAAAGAGTAACTAGGGAGAGAATAGGGCCCGTTAAAGATCAGCAAGGCTGCCTATGTGTTGAACTGTAAGAGATGGAGTAGGTACTAAAGAAGTATTTTGCATCAGTGTTTACTGTGGAGAAGGATATGGAAAGTAGAGAACATGGGGAAATAAATAGTGACATATTGAAAAATGTCCATAATACAGAGGAGGTGGTGCTGGACGTCTTAAAACGCATAAATCCCCGGGACCTGATCAGGCGTACCCTAGAACTCTGTTGGAAGCTAGGGAAGTGATTGCTGAGCCAGTTGCTGAGATATTTGTATCATCGATAGCTGTTGGTGAGGTGCCAAAGACTGGAGGTTGGCTAACATGGTACCACTATTTAAGAAAGGTGGTAAGGAAAAGCCAAGGAACTATGGACCATGAGCCTAATTTCAGTGGTGGGCAAGTTGTTGGAGGGGATCCTGAGGGACAGGATTTACATATATTTGGAAAGGCAAGGACTGATTAGGGATAGTCAACATGGCTTTGCGCATGGAAAATTGTAGTTCAGTAACTTGATTGGGTTTTTTGCAGAAGTGACGAAGAGAATTGATGAGGGAAAGGTGGTGGACGTGATCTATATGGACTTCAGTAAGGCGTTTAACAAGGTTCCACATAGTATATTGGTCAGCAAGATTGGATTACATGGAATACAGGGAGAACTAGCCTTTTGGATACAGAACTGGCTCAAAGGTGGAGGGTTGCTTTTCAGACTAGAGGCCTGTGACTAGCTGTGTGCCACAAGGATCGGTGCTGGGTCCCCTGCTTTTCATCATTTACATAAATGATTTGGATGTGAACATAGAAGGTGTGGTCAGTAAGATGACACCAAAATTGGTGGTGTAGTGGACAGTGAAGAAGGTTACCTCAGAGTACAGTGGGATCTTGATCAGATGGGTCAGTGGGTTGAGGAGTGGCATTTGGAATTTAATTTAGATAAAAGTAAGGTGCTTCATTTTGGAAAGGCAAATCAGGACAGGATCTATACACTAATGGTAAGGTCCTGGGAAGTGTTGCTGAACAAAGAGACCTTAGTATGCAGGTTCATATTTCCGTGAAAGTAGAATCGCAGGCAAACAGGATAGTGAAGACGGTGTTTGATATGCTTGCCTTTATTGGTCAGTGCATTGAGTATAGGAGTTGGGAGGTAATGTTGTGACTGTATAGGACATTAGTTAGGCATCTTCTGGAACAGTGTGCAATTCTGGTCTCCCTGCTATAGGATGTATGTTGTGAAACTTGAAAGGGTCAGAAAAAACTTAACAAGGATTATATCAGGGTTGGAGGGTTTGAGCTATAGGGAGAGGCTGAATAGGCCTGGGCTATTTTTTCTGGAGTGTCAGAGGCTGAGGGGCATTATAAAATCATGAGGGGCATGGATAGGGTGAATAGACAAGGTCTTTTCCCCAGGGTAGGGGAGTCCAAAGCCAGGGGATATAGGTTTAGGATGAGAGGAGAAAGATTTAAACGAGGCAACTTTTTCACGCACAGGGCGGTGAGTGTATGGAATGAACTGCCAGAGGAAGTGTTGGAATCTAGTACAATTACTACATGTAAAAGGCATCTGGATGGGTATATGAATAGAAAAGATTTAGAAAGATATGGGCCAAATGCTGGCATATGGGACTAGACTTATTTAAAATATCTGGTTGGCATGGACGTGTTGGACTGAAGGGTTTGTTTCTATGCTGTACAGCTCTTTGGCTCTATGACCCTAGCTTTCTATTTTAGTAAAAGGCAGGTGTAAGATGTTGTGTTTCAGATGTAAGTCACTTGGTCCACCACTAGGCTTTAAGCAAAACACACTTTATTCTTACAACACAGTTAAAATACAAACAAAATAAGAAGAATTGGCATAAATTTAACTCAATTGAAATATTTAATAAAATATTATTTAACTACCAATCATCAATTGTTCCAATATAGCAGCATCCCATAAACATACCTTTGGCAAAGGCAAAATCAGCCAAAAAGATTTTCCTCATGTGCTAACTCCCTTCCAGTCCAGGTGAAAGGAACACTGAAAAAAACAATGTAGCAACAGAGAGAGAGCTGAAGCTTTTACTGCAGCAGAGAGAGAGCTATATCTATCAGCTTGAACAGCCAACTCCGAAACTCCAATTGGTAGCTAAACTAAAACCCTTCATCACAGTGAGCCTGACTCCACCTACTCATTCTTCTTTTATGTAAGAAAGAAACACTTGGGGAGATCAATACTGTTTACCCGCTGCTTCTGAAGCAGACATTCAGGCATCACTGTGGCAACACCTCTCTGCAACAGAAACAGCTCAGAACAAATTTCTCTTAAATGCATAGTACTATAACACAAAGGTAACTTGGATGGAAATCATAGTGGTTAGTGGATAAGGAGCTCAATACAAAACCTGGATCTAATGCCAAAAGTGGATAAAGGATTTTTGTGCTCCACCACAATAAGTAGCACTGTGTAGTTACTGCAAAGCGCTGTGCATAACAGCATCATGCAGCAATTGTGCAAGAAGTCCTCAGCATCAGATAGAATGTGTGGATTGAATTTGTGGAAGACACGATGGGCACAATCTGGTGAGTGCATCATAAGACATGTTCCCACAGCTGAAGGAGATGTGAGCGTCAACGTCTCTCACTTTCAGAGGATTGCTAGAGATTGGCCCATGTTGCATGCCGTGCAAACAGCAAACAGATGATTCAACCATAAGAGAACTGTTGGGGATACAGAGTCAGTCAGAAGAACATCTCGCAGAGATGTCAGAGGCAATGTGATACCTTGAATGAAACGTAGAGGAGTCATAGTTATGGCATGAAAGCACTTGGCTCGCACCATGGAAAGGATTGTAACCACCTTTGAGTCCCAAGCAGAGTATCCAGTAGCTGCTAGATATGTGTGTACCTTCATTGCCTCACTCTATCCATAGTTGCATGCAGCAATGGCTAAACAAGATGGCAGTAAGACACCTTGACCTCTCTCCAAGTGTCCTTTCTCCTCAAAGAGAATAGAGGTGCCGTTACATACCAACAAGGAGAAAGGAGTGAGGCTAGTGATTCATCCCAGAGCCCTTCCAGTCTACCTCCACTCCAGTGATGCCATTGCCTCCAGCAGATCATGCTGAGGAGAGTACACCTGAGCAGGAAATCCACAGTAGGCAAGAGCCCTTTAAGCCTCGGATCACCAAAGGACAACCACCAAGATCATCTCTCGGAGCGTAGCAGTCAGCAGACTGCCTCCATTTCAGCCGTGGATATTGGAGCAGCACCAAGGTGTAGAAATGATGAAAAAGAAAAATTAAGAAGTTCTACCACACAAAGCTAACACAGGTCTAATCACTGTGTTTATTAAATTCACTTGTAAATATTTCTTAATTTTGCTTTATTCGTTTGTTACAAACGTAATGGACTAACAGCCTGGAAATTAAGCCCACCTTTTCTTGGACTCATCACAAGAGTTAAAGATTTTAAAACAGGTGCCCAAAATTTCCCAATTTGCCTGATTTTTCAGGCCCTGTTTATCTGCTATTTATTACAACTAATTGGAGTCTAGCTACAGGTAAACAATTATAAACCATTGACATATAACATTAAAACTTAAAACTCTAATTCCCCCTTATAAACACATACACTGACAGACGTATGCAATGGTAAAAATACCACAAGATCTGTTGAGTTGGTCTCTGCTGATCAGAAGATTTCTTCTTGACATATTTTCCAAATGCTTCTACTGGTTTGCAGGAGGCACAATATGGCTGGTTTACTTATCAATTGACAATGAAGCCTACAACAACCACTGAAGCAATGATAAGCTGGCTTTCTTAACATTAAAATGGCTTTGACTGCAGAGAATGAAGAGATAGCTCCTGAGCTGGTGGAGATCTGAAACATAGAAAATAGGAATAAGGGTAGTGTGACTATACAGTACTTTTACGAGGTCTAGACAGGTGTTGAGCAGTCTTTGAGAAGATAATCAACTTGTGAAGTCCTGGGGTTTTCTTAAATCTAGAACAGTAGAAGCAGCCTGAATGGATATGGTCAAGCTCCCACCCACAGAACCAGGGATTTTAGTTTTAGTTTTAAGCAGTTGCTGTTGGGGTCTTGAAGAGGTAGAAGCTATTTTTTGTCGCTCTCTAAGTTACAGCCAAAAGTTGGGCATTCTCTGCCTGCTGTGGAAGCTGCATGTGAGACAATCTGTTTCTGAATTTGCCTTTCGCCAACAGTGTGTTTATGGGATGTTACTATATTGGAACAGTTAATTAGTAATAGTTACTGTATTTATTATACCATTAAGTTTTCCAATAGAGTTAAATTATTCCAATTCCTTAGTTCTTTTGTTGTATTTTAACTGTAGTGGATGAATAAAGTGTGTTTTGCTTTAAATCCAATAGCTTGACCAATCGAATTGCATCTGTAATGCAACACCTTACACTTACCTTAAAAATAAGAAAATGTTAGGGTCTAGACTATCTTCTGAACATTTTGAGGGGGTTTGGTCTGGTCCATAACAGTAGACCATCCGAGCCTGCTCCACCATTCAACATGATCATAGCTGATCATCCTGTTTCGTCACCATTCCCACTTTTGCCCCATACCCGTTGATGTGTTTAGCCCAAGAACTGTATCTGTCTTGAAAAAATTCAATGTTTTGGCCTCAACTGTTTTTCATGGTAGAGAATTCCACAGGCTCACCACTCTTTGGATGAAAAACATCTTCTCATCTCAGTTCTAAATTGCCTACACCAAATCCTTAGACTGTGACCCCTGGTTCTGGACTCCCTGGTTATCTGGAAGATCTTTCCTGCATTTACCCTATCTAGTCTTGATGGAAGTTTATAGATTTCTGACATTCCTCCTTCATTCTTCTAAACTCCAGTCAATGTAATATTAACCAATCCAGTTTGTTTTCATAGATCAGACTTCCAGCCCAGGAGTCAGTCTGGCAAACCTTCTTTGCACTCCCTCCATAGCCAGAACATCCTTTCTCAGATAAGGAGAGTGTTAGTAAGCTCAGTTGGCTAGTGATGTAGAGTGCTGCAAATAGTATGGGTTCAATTCCTACACCAGTTGAGGTTACCATGGAGGATTCTCCTTCTCAACCTTTCCCCTCACCTGGGGCGTGATGACCATCAGATTAAACTATCACCAGTGCGTGCTCTCTCTCTCTCTGATGAGAGAACATTCCCATGGTCTGGTAGGACTATGGTGACTTTACCTTTTACCTTCAGATAAGGAGACTAAAACTGCACACAATATTCCAGAGATAACAAGGTGTAGAGCTGGATGAATACAGCAGGCCAAGCAGCATCAGAGGAGCAGGAAGGCTGACGTTTCGGGGTGTGGTCTCACCAAGGCCCTGTACTATTGCAGCAAGACATCCCTGTTCCTGTATTCAAATCCTCTTTCTTTGAAGGCCAGTATACTATTTGCCTTCTTCACCACCTGCTGCACCTTGAGCAACTGGTGTACTATGACACCCATGTCCTGTTGCACCTCCTCCTTTCCAAATCTATCACCATTAAGGTAATAATCCACCTTCCTGTTCTTGCTGCCAAAGTGGATAACCTCACATTTATCCACATTATACTTCATCTGCCATGCATTTACCCAATCACTCAACTTGTCCAAATCACACTGAAGCATCTCTGCATCCTCCTTACAGCTCACCCTCCCACCCAACTTTGTGTGTTTGAAAACTTGGAGATATTGCATTTTTCGTTTCTTCACCTAAATCATTAATCTGCATTGTAAATAGCTGGGTCCAAGCACTGATCCCCCTGGTACCCCACTAGTCACTGGCTGACAATCAGAAAATGACCTGTTTATTTCTACTCTTTGTTTCCTGTCTGCAAGCATGTTCTGTACCAATACTACCTCCAGTCCCATGTGCTTTAATTTTTCATGCTAATCTCTTACGTGGGAATGTCTTGTGAAAGACCAAGTAAACCACATCCACTGGTTCCTCCTTATCAGCTAAACTAGTTACATTCTTGAAAAATTTCAATAGATTTGTCAAGCATGGTTTCCCTTTCGTAAATCCATGCTGAATCTGCCCAATCCTATCATTGTTTTCCAAGTGCCTTGCTATGAAATCTTTTATAATAATTTGGCATTTTCCCTATTCTCAATGTAGTAGCTAACTGATCTACAGTTCTGTTTTCTCTCTACCTCCTTTTTAAATAGTTGTCTTATATGAGCAACCCTCCAATTCATAGAAACTGTTCCAGAGTCTTTAGAATCTGAAAGATGACATCAACTGTATCCAGTATTTCTAGGACCAGATCCTTAAGTACTCTATGTAGTCTTAAATAATCTTAACACTAGCTCCAAGCTGAACAGTTACCTGAAAACTAATGACACAGTTGTTGGCAGGCAGAAGGCCTTTGTTATTGATAATTGGTCACTGGTCCATAGATCAGTCAACTTCTTGTTATCAACCAAAGCTCTATCTGAATACAGAACCCTTCAAGCTCCAGTTCGTCTGCAACCATTTCAATTATTGTTTGTTCAAACAGCTGTATAAATTATGCTTGCCGTAAGGATCAAGTTACACGCTCTTCAAAACCTGCTGCAAGCCTTGAAAAACGCTGGCTTTTAATGACAGTTTTTTTTTCATTTCAGTCTACAATTTTAAAAAACACAAAAAAAGACAGTTTTTGCGTTTGTTATATTTTCATTACTTTGCAAGTTGCTGCAATGATTGTATCTGTCACCACCCTCTTCCACCTGACTGTGGAATGAACTTCCTGAGGAAGTGGTGGATATGAGGCAGTGGTGCTAGCCACTGAGTCACTGTGCTGGTTGTTATATGCCTTTATGTAGCATTTCTAGTCCAGCAACAATACCACTGCACCATACATTGAAAAAGTCTATAACCTCTGTACAAAAAAGGTTCCACCCAATTTATTTTCTAATTCCTAATATCTTAATAATTGACTGTGCCTGGATTTTGAATGCACCCTGCAGCAGGTAAGGTCCATGCACATTTGATCGTAATGTTAGAACTCAGGACTGTACATGAATTTGATGATTTTCTATTTAAACTGCGATATGCACTAAAGTGAAGTGTATGATTTTGACAGATGAACCTCCAGTTGGACTTGAGACTCAACAATCCATTGAAGTAACTGATGACTGTCACATCAAGAATGATGTCACATCACCGACTAAAACAAATGTGATTAAAAGGAAAAAAATGGTTAAAGGAAAATCAGGTAGAGAACTTCAAATTATATAATAGGGATTGAGTGTCAAGTCATTAGAATTATAGCTCTTTGTAGGTTATCTACTCTAAGTCTGCTTACACCTGTTTTTTCTATCCTTTAATTAGCTCCCTTTTTAAAATGACTGAATGTCATAAATCAACTGGTATTGGATGAAAAACTCAGCATAATCAGGTGATATATCAATGGGATTACTTAATGAGAAGTTCAAAAATTTTAACTGATACGTTCCTGAACTCCCTGGGTAGCTTACAATCTGTATAAGCCTCTGACCTGCTTCTTGCCTGTTTCAGGCTGAATTTTGGAAACCCAGGGCCAGGTCGACAGATGAAGTGGCTGGATAAATGTAGAATTGAGCAATGCTATGGACAATTACCCACCTTTGTTATATTCACGGCAAGTTAACTCGCTGTCGGCCTGCTCATGGGCTAATTGAGACCCTCGGTTAAGGTCTTTCGAGCTTAATCTAATTGTTCCAGCATCATGCAGAGTCCGATTTAAGCATGAAGCTCAGCAATTTCCACTGCCCAGGCTGGTGACAGAGAAGTGCGGAGGGGTAATGCCCCCAGTCTTCCTTACCCTTTGCGATCCCCACTTCCAGCTCCACTTGCCAGAGTCTTCCAGCCTGCACAGCCCCACCCATTCCTACCTTAGCTTTGCATGCCAGTGACAGCTTTCATCAGGGACTTGAAGCAGGCCATCAATGGCCACCCCTCCCCGTCTGCTACATGTAATTGGCCAGCTGGTGTCCATGAAGAGACACCCTCCACAAATGGGGGCCAATTTATTGCCCTCCAGATGTTAAGCTGACTGAGTGGAGGTGGGCTCATCCTTGATTGTCACGCCAGGGGGAATGGGGACCCCAGCCAGTTGTAAAATCACAGCCTGGATCAGGAGACAGTGTTACAGACACACTGTCCGCAGTCTCTCAGATCTAGTGCTCTCTTTCAGATATTCTCCCTGTGTTTTTCAGATACACTTGGCACCAACTGCTTCAGGAACATTGTTTTCAGTCTTGGGCACTTCTTCAAACATTTTCTTTACCCAGATTCTCAACTGTAGTTACTGCCTCACAAAATTTACAATGTCACTCAGGTACTGGCAGTGCTTTAGAGACTAGAAGCCTACCTAAAACAGAAATTAGATTGATCATATAAAATCTGTAACTGTGTCAACCAAGGCAAGCGACAACTCCACTGCTTAACACAAGGAGGTGCTGTTGTAGAGGAGATTTTTACTGCAATTTGATAGCTTCCTGGTAACTTTGACTGACATCAGCATTATATTCATAGATTTTTTAAAAACTGACGTCAGTTAGTTTTCTGGATTGTTTATCCGGTAATTAAACCACGGTATTACTATATCATTTTTCTGACTTCCGTCTTTCTTTCTTGCTCTTAATTACCTGGTTCCTCCTCTCTTTGATTCTTGCAATTCCTTTTTCTTTGTGTTCCTGATACACCTCTTTCTCTTGCTTTTTTTTTCTTTTATGTTGATTATCCCTCCAACTTTCCCTGGCCTTGTCTGTGTTTTGTTGTTCCTCTGGTTCATTCTTTGGTTCTGTAATTGCCGACACCACAGGGTCCTCTCCTGCCTGAGGCTGAGTAGGCACCTCGTCGTTGACAACCCTGCGAGTCCCAGGGGCCAGGATGTTTCTTCCTTGGCAGCTGTAGGGCAGTGCAGTGTGGTACTCACTAGATTGTGGTCCCACACTTTCCAACATTAACATTCCCACTGAGGTGACAGAATATGAGCTAATGGAACTTGCAGGAGGTAGTCATGCAAATCCAGCAGAATGAAGACTGGTATTTACTTGGTTGGCAGAACATGGATGTCTCCATTAGAGTGATCCTGGTCTTCTCCTGTCAGCACCATGATTCTGTCCTCCTACCGCCTGAGAAGTCAAAAGTTGGGCACCCGTCAACCTGTCTGGTTTGTTTCCTTGAAAGAGAGAACAAATGGGGTTGAGTGAGATGAAAGTGGATGGTACGATGATTTGTGCTGGTGCAGGTCATTGAAAGATGGTGGTAGCAAGTTAGCAGGCAGTGCAGACGCCATGCAGGGATAGTGGTGATGTTGGAGGCAACAGTGAGAGTGATACGGTATGAGCCTTGGAAGAATATGGGTGCAGTAGAGGCAGTAGCGTGAAGGTGAGATAACAGAGGGAGGAGTGTGGCATTCAACTTGGTGGAACGGAGTATGTCATTGACCTTATGGCACTGATGGCTATTCACTGCATTATTAAGGTCACTCCCTTTTGAACCATTCCCTTGACCAGGACTTCCACGTCATTGTCAGAGAATCACAGCACCATCTACCCCTTATCCAAAGTGTTCCATTTCCATTCTCGACCAAGCAGGGCAGTCTCGGAATGCCAATGGTCATCCAAGTGCACTGCAGCCTTTTAAATATGATTCATGTGCCAGTGATGCTGGCCTTTTAGCAGACATCTGATGAATGGTGAGATGGGGATAGAATCAGTCGTAAGCGGCAAGTTAATTTGAACATAGAACATAGAACAGTACAGCACAGTACAGGCCCTTCAGCCCACCATGTTGTGTCGAACTTTTACCCTAATCCTAAGGTCTATCTAACCTCCATCCCTACCTTATACTATCACCTATATGCCTATCTAATAGCCGCTTAAATGCCCCTAATGAGGCCGACTCCACTACCCTCTCCGGCAATGCATTCCACGTCCTGACCACTCTCTAAGAACCGACCTCTGACGTCCCCCCTATATGTACCTCCACTCACTTTAAAACTATGCCCCCTCGTAATAGCTACCTCCACCCTAGGAAACAGCCTCTGGCTGTCTACTCTATCTATACCTCTGATCATTTTTGTACATCTCTATCAAGTCACCTCTCATCCTTCATCGTTCTAAAGAGAAAAGCCCCAGCTCTCTCAACCTTTCCTCGTAAGACCTTCTCTCCATTCCAGGCAACATCCTGGTAAATCTCCTCTGCACCTTTTCCAACGCTTCCACATCTTTCCTGTAATGAGGCGACCAGAACTGGACACAATACTCCAGGTGTGGGCGAACCAGGCTTTTGTATAGCTGCAGCATAACTTCACGGCTCTTGAACTCAATCCCTCTATTAATGAAAGCTAACACACCATACGCCTTCTTAACAACTCTATCCATCTGAGTGGCAGCTTTCAGGGAACTGTGAACATGAACCCCAAGATCCCTCTGCTCCTCCACCCTGCCAAGAATCTTTCCGTTAACCCTGTATTCTGCTTTCAAGTTTGTCCTTCCAAAATGAATCACCTCACACTTTTCAGGATTAAACTCCATCTGCCACTTCTCAGCCCAGCTCTGCATCCTATCAATGTCCCTTTGTAACCTAGAACAGGCCTCCGCACTGTTCACAAAGCGACCCGCCTTTGTATCGTCTGCGAACTTACTAATCCACCCTTCCACTCCTTCATCCAAATCATTTACAAAAACCACAAATAGAAGAGGACCCAGAACAGATCCTTGTGGTACACCACTCGTAACTGAGCACCATGTTGAATATTTTCCGTCCACTACCACCCTTTGTCTTCTAAGGGTCAGCCAATTCTGAATCCAATCTGCCACATTTCCCCCTATCCCATGCCTCCTTCTGCATGAGCCTACCATGGGGAACCTTATCAAATACCTTACTTAAATCCATGTATACCACATCCACTGCTCTACCTTCATCCACGTGTTTGGTCACCTCTTCAAAGAATTCAATAAGGTTTGTGAGGCATGATCTACCCCTCACAAATCCATGCTGTCTATCACGAATCAAACTGTGCCTTTCCAAGTGATCATAAATCCTATCTCTCAGAGCACTTGCCAATAATTTGCCCACCACTGACGTAAGACTAACTGGCCTGTAATTTCCGGGGTTATCCCTATTCCTGTTTTTGAACAAGGGAATGACGTTTGCCTCTCTCCAGTCTTCTGGCACTATACCCGTGGACAGTGAGGACGAAAAGATCATCACCAAAGGCCCTGCGATCTCTTCCCTCGCTTCCCATAGAATCCTTGGATAAATCCCATCAGGCCCAGGGGACTTATCTATCTTCAAGTTCCTCAAAATTCCTAGCACATCTTCCTTACTAACATCGACCTCCTCTAGCCTACCAGCCTGTTTCACACTGTCCTCCTCTACAACTAGGTCCCTCTCAGTTGTGAATACCAAAGAAAAGTATTCATTAAGGACTTCTCCTATCTCTTTAGGCTCCGTGCACAAGTTCCCTTTACAATCCTTGATCGGCCCTCCCCTTTCTCTGGTCATTCTCTTATTCCTCACGTACAAGTAAAAAGCCTTGGAGTTTTCCTTGATCCTATCTGCCAAGGTTTTCTCATGCCCCCTTATAGCTCTCCTAAGCCCTTTCTTCAGCTCCTTCCTGGATAACTTGTATTCCTTTAGAGCCTTGTCCGATCCTTGTTTCCTAAACCTTACATAAACATCCTTCTTCCCCTTAACCAGTCGTTCGACCTCTCTTGAGAACCAAGGCTCCCTCACTCGACCGCATCATCCCTGCCTGCTGGGGACAAACATATCGAGCACACGCAGTATGCATTCCTTAAACAATCTCCACATTTCAATAGTCTCTTCCCTGACAGCATCTGTTCCCATTTTATGTTACCTAGTTCTTGCCTAACAGAATTATAATTACCCTTACCCCAATTATAAACCTTAACCTGCTGTACGTACATATCCTTTTCCATGACTATTATAAAATTAACAGAGTTATGATCGCTACTGCCAAAATGCTCTCCTACCAACAGGTCTAACACTTGGCCCAGTTCATTGCCAAGCACCAAATCCAAAGTGGCCTCTCCTCGTGTTGGTCTATCTACGTACTGTGTCAGGAATCCTTCCTGAACGCACTGGACAAAATCCACTCCATCTAAAATGTTTCCAATCAATATTTGGAAAGTTGAAGTCACCCATGACTACAACCCTGTGACTTCTGCACCTTTCCAGTATCTGCCTCCCAATCCGCTC